CGACCGCTCCTTCCAACTTGTGTTACTCGACCATCTCAATCATTGCCACAGACTAACTTATAAAGTGGATTTTGTAACTACTTTGGTCTTGAAAGAACATTACGCATCGAACTGATGTCCACAATCACGTTTATTTTCTTCTTTGTACAATCATGAAACACCGTGAAAACGTGTTCGCCTAGTAGACCAGCAGTAGAATTATGTTATTACATCGTTGACACTTTTAGCGCCCTTTGCCTCTCTCACAAACACAATATAAACATCCGGGGCTAGAGGTCACATGACTTCCGGAAAGACAACTCTTATCATTTTTACAAAATAAAACAAAGCTCAAGCATACATTAAAGGTAGGGTAGGTAAGTTTGAGAAACCGGCTCGAGATACATTTTTTGTTATATTCCATGGAATGCTCTTAACATCCCGATAGCAATGAATATCGTAAGTGCTTTGACAAAAAATCCATAAAAGAATGTAATCTGTGGAAGCCGTAGTACTGTAAAAAGCACGACCAATCATCTGAGCCGGCCCGGCTAAAATAACTGGATGGCCTACCTGCCTGTCAGCCTTCCATCTGTGCACAAACTTATCTCCTGCCCTCATTGGTCATGTGCGCGTTCGTGTGTGTTGGAGGAGGGGCTCTGTAAGGAAGTGGCAGATTTTCTCCGGTTGTGTATTTTCAAATTCTAGCGATCTCGAGCCGGTTTCTCAAATGTACCTACCCTACCTTTAAACACTCTTCAAAAAATACAGAACAATAAATAAGGGACCTTTGAGCGTCAGCTATACAGATGTACTCTGTTTGACTTCATGCATTGGATTACTTTCTTGGACGTAATCCAGTGAACATCTTGTGTGGATTTGAAACGTTAGTATTGGACTTCCTGTAGAGTAATCCTGTTGATAATCTGCAAAATCCATGTGGTTTGTTTCCTACCTCCTCCTTGCACAGTAATGCAGTTTGAAGGACGAGGCTCCTCTTCATCCCCCGACATGCCACTTTCTCTCCTCGCTGCCACACGAAGGAGGAGGAGGAGGCTTCATAGAAGTGGAGCAGAGCTGCTGGTGTGTCCTCTGCTGGGTATTTATAGAGCAGGAGGTGAAAACTGCTGCAGATTCACCATTCAAACAAAAACTGCTGTCATTCTGCACAGAGAGGAAGAAGACGCTCCTGCAGAAACACACAACAGCTGATTGACGTTTTCACAAATGGGCACACAAGTATGGGAGTTTATAAGTGACAAAACAACGTGAGCATGACAAATTAATTCAGGGTGACAGACTGCAGGTCAGGATTTGAGAGCTGTGCAGAAGATGTTTCTTTTTTACATTGTTTGCATGTTTTCTTGGGCATTTGAGTCATTCCTGGAAAATGTTCTTCTGGGATATTTTGGACTTATTTGCCAGACTCCGACCGTCACTCTTGGAGTCGGTTGCAGAAACCCTAGTCCACGCTTTTGTCACCTCCCGCTTGGACTACTGCAATGGTGTCCTGTTTGGGGTCCCCAACAAAACCCTGGTCAGGCTCCAGTATGTTCAAAACTGTGCTGCTAGGGTACTCACCCATACAAAGCACATCACTCCCACCCTCATCCACCTCCACTGGCTGCCGGTCAAGTCTTGCATATCCTACAAAGTCCTCCTCCTTACCTACAAGTCCCTCCATGCCCATGCCCCCCAGTACTTATGGGCCTCCTCCGCCCACATGCCCCACCCCGGAACCTGCAGTCTTCAGACTCCGGCCTGCTTACCACCCCCCGCACCAACCTGCGAACCTTCGGGGACAGAGCCTACAGTGTGGCAGCCCCCACCCTCTGGAACGCTCTCCCTGCGGAGATCCGCAACATCCCCCCACGCTTGACGCCTTCAAAAGGGCCCTCAAGTCCCATCTGTTTGCTAAAGCCTTTGGCCCCTAATCTCAGGGCCGTCCCTCCCTACAGGCCAATCATGCAGACTGATACATACAGAATATGAATATGAACTGCTACCATCTAATCGGAGATACAGGGTCCCACGATTCAATAAGGTCAGACTGAAGCACTCCTTTGTGCTCCAGTCAATCCTCTCAGTAGATACAGAGCTGATCCCAGATCAGATGCACGCTGAAGGCTCTTTGAGCAGCTTTTCTCTCACTGATCGTGCTGTTATGTTAAATGTTTGTTGTTTGTGTTTCATGTATTTGTGTCTGGATATTTGTCTGTTGATGTTGGACATGGAGCTGCTGTGACGCAAGTCAAATTTCAGACTTGATCTTACAAATAAAGTAATATCGTATCGTATACTGCGTGGGGCCTCACCTTGCGGAGGGTGCCTCAACTGAGCCGAAAATGCGGCGCACCTATGCGCTTATGCGGCGCAATTAGTGTAAATCCCCCCCCCCCCGTCGACGACGCTCGCGAAACAGAGGGCCTCATCATATAACTTTGCGTGGGGCCTCATGTTGGCCAGGGACGGCCCTGCCTAATCTACTTGTTGTTTTGTCTGTCTGACTGTTTGTCTGACTGTTTGTCTGACTGCCTTTTGTTATGTTTGTTCCTACTCCTGTTCTTCTTTGTAAAGCGACCAAGCTATTATTATTATTATCATATTTTCACTTCATTTACATTCTTTCAGCATGTTACTGCCTTTATTGACTGTTTACTGGTTTATTCTACAACAATCAAATGCTATAAAATCATGTTTTTTTCCGGAAGATTTTGACAGATTATTTGGGAAATTGTCGGAAAACTTTTCATTCTACGTATATTTGGATATTTTAATCAACATTTTCCAAAATATATTTAATATTTTTGGGTCATTATTTGAACATTTCACATGTGCGTCTTTTACATCTTTTACAGAAATGTTTCAGTAATTATCTCCTTGATTTTTCACTTACTTTTTACAAACTTTTTTCTGACATTTTCAAAATATGTATTGGATTTTTTTTTTTACACATATTGTGACATTTAGATATATATTCTTTAATAGATCAAAATAAAAGAATTCAATGCAATGACCAACAAAAAATACATTTGTTGAAAATAACACATTGAAATATTATACTAAATGAATGAGGATAGGAATTAGAAAATGTCAATTATATTTACTTCAGGTGGTTTCATCAATTATGTTTCGTTGATATTCGAAGCACCGACTTGGATGGAAATGAGTGGATGGCAGATTAAGGTTTTTATCAGATTCTACGTGTTTTAGTTCACAAGAGGAATTAACAATTAATTTTCCAACTAACAGGCAGCAACAGGACATTAACATATTGAGATAAATGAAAAATATTGAAGGAGAATCTATTTCAACATTATTAGCAGGCTGGGTTGCACTTCACCTCGGGTCAGATTTAATGGATTTCTCTCTAAACTCCGTGGGGTTTCCACACATTCACATGCAACATATGAAACACTTTGATGCTGCAGCTTTGAAGAAGTCTCAGTTCCTCCTGGATCAAAGCAATGGATACTATCAGACTTCATCAGGAGAATAAACACATTAATCTGAACCTTGGAAATATTTGAGTGTTTATTCAAGAAAACATTTGAACATTTCTCCACAGTTTCTGCAGAGCATACTTACTGATGCACTTAGGTCTTGACAGTATATCAGACAAGACATGTTAAGATGCTCAGAATTTGTCATGAAAATAAACTAAATGGATTTCTCAAGTACTGTACTTAAAGGTCCCATGTCATGCTTTTCTGGTTATTACCCGTCCCCTTGTGTGTTATGAAGGTTTTTCTGCATGTAAACGGTCTGCAGAGTCACAAACCCTCAAAGTACACCCTGTAGCGAGTAAAACTCTAACACAGAAAAGACCTGTCTCTGCTGCCCCAGAACGCCTCGTTGGAGATTTCTCATTTTCCATTGTTTGCTTCCTGGGTTCTGTGACGTGTGAATACCCAAATCAACAACAAATGACCGGATTGGCCCAAATGGACCAATCTGCGGAGCACCTCACACACCAGGATCCCTTGGCTAACTAACAGGGAGTCCCATTGACTTGCATAGAGCTCCCTGAACGCTGGTAATAGACGAGTTGGGATCGCGGAGAAATGCTCTCCGCAGACCCATTCTCACAGCGTTATAAACCTTTTTCTTACTCAATATCAAGCCACACTTATTGTTTTTAAAAATATGGACTTTTATTCTGTTTATTAAATTATTTCTCTGCATTTGACCCATCCTAGTGTTAGGAGCAGTGTGCTGCCATTTTGAACGGCGCCCGGGGAATGTTTGTGTGTGCTCAGGATGAGTTTTGCTTGTTCTCGCTGTGTCGCCGACCCGGAAACCTGTCCGCTCCTCGCAGCAGCAACGAGCCTCGCAGCGTCCCGACCAATCAGAGCACACTGGGCTCAAAGGGAGGGGGGGGCAGGAGCTCCAACAAGCCGTTTAGGACAGAGAGTGAATACACATACTATACAGAGATGCTGTATGAGAAACCAATGCGATTTGGGAAAATTGCACAATTTAAATCTATTCTAGTATACCTCAACAATGGAAATATGATCAGTAGAAATGGCCATGACATGGGACCTTTAAATACAACGTCGAGGTACAGAAAATATCTATATTTTTCTCCCCCTTGAATGCAACAGTTACCTTCTTTCTGAGTCATTTTTAATCCAATAGCACCACCTGCTGGTCAAACACGCTCAATACATGTTACACTGCTTTACTTTATGGTCTTTAGGTACAGGTGAAGAGATACAAAATATGTAACTAACATATATCATTATGAAACCTCCCCACTTCATTAGTGACATTAACACAATTATGTTTTATATTACAAGTTTTCTGAAATGTCATGTTTACATTATGCAAATGAGGCATTATGTAATGATAACCTTTGGTGAATTTAGGAGAAATCTGCAGACACAAACAGACAAAATAATTGATTACAGGTTCTCACTAGTCTAAAAGAAGACAAACAACAAAATACTATTTGATTCAATTGAATTATTTCAACACAAACATCCTCCCCTCTCCCCACGTGACTGTGACGTCACACCGGAAGTCTGTTTCTAACAGACATGGCGTGTTTGCTAGCGGTTAGCAGCATGAGCTCCTCAATGTTTTCTTTTATAAAACGTCGCTCCTCATGGATACTCTGTTTGTTTCTAGTGATTCATGTGTCGACATCCTCCGCTAAGCTGGACAGCCTGAGAGAAGTGACGGACAGCAGCTGGGAGGAAATCCTGTCGGGAGAATGGATGATAGAATTGTGAGTGTGCTAATGCTAACTGCTAATGCTAACTAGCCTGTCAGTTAGCTATTTCCAGCTCCTAAAATCGGGCTTGACTTCCCTTAATCCTTTTAGATCAACCTTTTAGTTTGTTTTGTCTGTTTGTGTCAGCAGAAATAATAATAATAAATACATTTAAATATGATTCTATGAAAAATAAATAACAACATAAGAATAAAACATGTTTGAGCTTATACAAGGTAAAAAAACAAACAAACTCGCATTTATAAATTACTGGGAACAAACAATACTTTTATAATAATAATAATAATAATAGTGAAGGGCATATTTCGAGCTTCATATGCAAACAAGTGATTTTTTTTCTTTTTTATCAACTAAGATTTGTTAGAAAATGTACTGAATTGATTTGAAAAGTGGGCTTATAACACATGAATACTACTGTTTCATTGATGTTTACATATATATTTTAGAAGTACAATATAGGACAAGTACACGTTTCATGTTTGGCCCATATTCCAATTTAATTTAATTTATAAAACATAACATGGATGTATCTGGGGCCTGTTCTTTCCTATGAGAGCTACCGGTTAGCTGCTAAAAGCTAACTAGCCTGTCAGTTAGCTATTTCCAGCTTTTAGAAACGGGCATGACATCCCTTATTCTTTAGGTTGACGCTTAAATTATCTATTTTACCTAAAGATACAATAAATAATTATGATAAATAATCAATATGCCTGGTTGTAATCCTGAAAAGTAGCTACATCTAAGCTAATAGCTGTCACCTTCACTGAGCTAACTAGCATACCACAGAGTTCCATGCTAGCCATATTGTTATGCTAACTCTTAAAGTAAACACTCGTAATTGGTTGATTTTACAAATGTACCACAAACTCAATATCATATTGCACTTAGTAAACTAAATGGAAACAAAACAAATGCATAAATAAAAAAACGATGGGAAATCACAACAAAACGTGATTTAAACTATGATACAGAAATTAGACAGACACCTTATTGTGAGGGATGTTGTTGTTTATCTGAGACTTGACTTGTGACTCTTGCCCCCCCCCAGTTACGCTCCCTGGTGCCCAGCCTGCCAGCAGCTCCAGACGGTGTGGAAGGATTTTGCAGATTGGGGGGATGACATGGGGGTCAACATCGCCAAGGTGGACGTGACCGAGCAGCCCGGTAAGACTCAGTGACCTCAGTGCAGCTACACTGGGACTTTACATGCAACAAATACACATGCACGAGGTTCATGACGGGAATGGAAATCCTTAAAAACACCCCACAAATCCACATGTTAAGAAAAGGGTGCAAAGTATACTGCTGTTGAAGCCCTACACAAACAGCCATGTTTTAAAAATGTTATATCCTCAATTTTCCACAAATGATTGCTAAATTTGATTTGTTTTATCGAGTTCACAGTTTCTAATGTCATTATTTGAAAATAGCAAATGCTTCAAAGGCTTTAATTTTTAACAGTGTGCATACAATGTAGGAGGTATAAGATGCAAAGTATACTAGGTATGAAGCCTTAAACAAACAAGGGTCAAACATTTTATTTACTCTGTTTTCCCATTATAATCAATATTTTTTGTTTTGTTGAGATCACAAGTTATTTGTTATTATCTCGAATTAACTAATGTTGTTTTCCCAAGATCATGGGATAAGATCATTAATTCAATATCATGAGAAAACAAAGAAATCAAACGTAATGGGCCTTTATCTCGTTGTCCAATGAAAACAACACTTATTTCGTAGTAATTAATAAATATCTTGTGATCTCAGGAAAACCATTAAAAGGCTGATTATCACGGGGAAAGGGAGGAAATGAAATGTGTGAAACGTGGTCTTTTAGAGATTACAACCTGAAATATCTGTATGTGCTTTGAAACCGTGATAATGACTCAGTGTTACTGTAATAGACTGTGTTTCCATGTTTTAACCCAGCTCTGTATTAAATGTCCTCTCTGTCTCTCTGTCAGGTCTGAGCGGGCGCTTCATCATCACTTCACTTCCGACCATTTACCAGTAAGTTCTGAGTAACTGTGTTTTATCACTTCCTCTTGTGGTGTCAGAAAGCGGATGTTCACCATTTTGAAAGATTTGGCTCTTAATCTCAGTTTAGATCATCAACTCTGTTCTCCTTTCTCTCCATTTTGAAGTGTCTCCATCTTATGTCTGCACAACTTACTTTAACTAATCATTAGTAAGGAAAACACATCTAATTTGTTCAAATAAATGAGGGTATGCAGTGTTTCCCCTACCATTGTCTTGGAGGGGCCCCGCGCCCCCCTGAAATTCAAGGTGTTTAAAAAAAATATATATAATTTTTTTTTTTAATAATATATATATATATATAAATCACCAAATTGCAACTAATCTATATCTACTGTCACTTTTCACATTGAACATGTGCTCTTTTATTAAATAAACTAAACGCTTTCATTTTAAGTTGTGAGTTTAGTGTTTTTGACCCTAAGAAACACTGATGCATTAATCAATAACAATAAGCCACAGTTCCTCTCTCTGCTCCAACGCAGGGGAAACACTGGTATGAATACATGCACATTTTAGGAAAGCTGGTCATTTTTAACCATTGGATCATATTATTTATTCTGATTAATAATTTGCCTGGAAATGGTGAACAATTACACTTGTTTCCCCCCAAACGTAGAACTAAATATAATCTAATTACTGATATAAAATGGTAAAGAAAAGAGCAGATCCTCCTTTTCTGAGAAGGTGGAGCAAGTGAAAATTGTGTTTATGTTTTAAAATGGATGTAAAATGCTGCTTTTGGGGCGGCAGTGGTTCAGTCTGTAGGGGATTGGACTTTGGACGTAAGGGTCGCCGGTTCACGTCCCGATCGGACCAAAAATACGGAGTGTGGACTGGTACTGGAGAGGAGCCAGTTCACCTCCTGGGCCACTGCCGAAGTGCCCTTGAGCAAGGCACCTAACCCCCAACTGCTCACTGGCGCCGGCTAGACTGGCTGCCTCCGCTCTGACCTCTCAACTGCATGTGCATGTGTACATATAACTGTGTGTGTATTTGTATATGTATGTGCATGATGTAAAAAGTGTGTACTGTATGTACCTGTATAAAAACGCATGCGTGTGTACGACAGAGTGGAAACTGAATTTCCCCCTCGGGAGATTAATAAAGGTCCATCTTCTTCTTCTTCTTCTTCTTCTTCTTCTTAAAAGTTTAAAAACTCACTTCCCTCTTCACAAAATACCATCAGCAGACACCAACACATCCTGTGATCGCAGAGTTTCCTTTTTATTTTCAGTGTAAAAGTCATTTCTGTGTAAAGTAAACATCCAAAATGTTTTACGCTTCCTATTCTGGTTTTACTTTGCAAGATGCATCGTTTCTGCTAGACCATAACTTGCTCTATTGCAGAGAAAAGGTGCACGTATATTTGTACAGATATACCCATTTTGCTGTTTCATTCTTTATGCTGTCCCTCAACAGCTAAACACACGTGTCTGGCCATGATATATCCCTCACAGAAAATAGGGCTCAAGTCGCCTCACTGTTCCTAATATGTTTTGTTTATTTGTGTCATAGCTGTAAAGACGGCGTGTTCAGGAAGTATCAGGGCGCTCGCACTAAAGAAGACTTCCTGAGCTTCGTGGACGAGCAGAAATGGAAATCCATCGAGCCGATCTCTTCCTGGTTCGGCCCGTCCTCCGTCCTGTGAGTAAATACAAACACTTCAAGATTCAAGGCTTTTATTGTCATTCGTCCAGTAACTACAGTGTAGATATATCAATGCAAACCTCAGGTCTCAGGCTCCAACAGTGCAACACAATACAACATACAAAATAGTGCAAGTAAATACAATCAAATAGAATAGAAGTAGTGCCGTAAGTAAGGGATAATGTGCAGCGACGCGGTCATTATGGGGAAAAGAACACCGACAGGCAGATCAGGAGCCCGACGCGAAGCGGAGGGATCTAGATCTACGTTTGAAAAACGTAGCAACGGCAGAAAGGCGGAGCTTTTTGATTACAGATTTGAAAACATCGTTGCTTGCTTTAAAAGTAGCACAATTCATGATGTCAAACCTTGGAAAGTATCTAGATATCCCTGCCCTAATGCCAAAGGAACTGCACACTGAATATGTGTCGCCGTTTGATGTCTATGTCTGGACGCTGCGTAAAAAGGAGGGTTTCTGCCCGTTACTTCTCCGCTGTTTTCTTGTCGCTCTTGTCTTGTCAGTTAGAAAAGCAAACTGCATGCAGTTTGCTTTTCTGCCAAAACTGTATACAGTTCAATCGACCGGACTTCTTTGTGCAGATGTGAGCGTCCTTAACAACGGTCATAAATCCTTGACAGCGGTCTGTCTGTTCTGGATTAACAACGTGTCACGTGTTCTGAATTGACCAATCAGAATCGAGTATTCAACTAAGCCATGTAATAAGAGTCTATATACAAGTGATAAATAATGTGTACGTTGCAAACAGGTGAATGTTAGGATGTTCTTAGTTCAGGTGTTTAACAGTCTGGTGTTTATCATGCTGGTGATACATGTGAGGATGGAGTGATTGTTAATGAAAACTATGATCAACATATACATTTATCATGACTAAAATAAGACAATAAAGTTGATGCAATTAATATAACAGGTTTTTCTTCTAGAAGAAATATAGTATGAGGGCAGCACTGATTATATGCTGATCTTGTATATAAGATATATCAATTCTCGTGTGTATAAAACAAAAAATCTATTCTTAGTGTCTTTTTTCTGTGTGTTTAATCTCCTCCTTGATGTTTGTTATTCTCTGTGTAGAAGTTTGAATAACCTGCTGTTGTTTCTTCCTCTCGCAGAATGAATTCCATGTCGGCTTTGTTCAAGCTCTCCATGTTTATCCGGGTAAGTGAGGATCTATCCGCTCACTGTCAACACACAGGAGGTTTATTATGGGAAGATATTTATTTAAATTCTCATAATCCATTTAAAGAAGAATACTCTGCTCGGTGGGTCATAAAGGAGAGAATCAGAGCGGCTTTTACCTGCATAACAAAACAGAACAAATCCAGTTTTACAGGATTCAAACACATCAAAATGCAACCTCATGTGAATCACAGATGGGACGTATTTTAGGAAATAAGGGCACAACTCAAAGCTGTTAAACGTAGTTAAAGAAATGACGCAGTGGAGCAGGATTTAATCAGGTTATAGACAAAGCAGATCTCTTCTGGTATATGATATATTATTTCCATTATCAATTCTTTCTCATATTTATTTTTTTACTTTTTATGTATTGACTTAGTTTTACGAATTTATTGGGGACTATTTTCAGCTGCAGATTGGTTATCACCTGAGCGAACAACCCAGATATTTAGTATTTTAGTTAATGTGTTAAAGGGGACCTATCATGCAAAATGCACTTTTTAAAATAAAAAATAATGTAACATTTATGATGATGTTATCAGAATACTGCATTTGCCCCAAGGGGAAGTTGGGATTTATAAGATAACATAAAATGAATAACATTAAAGGGGACCTATCATGCAAAATGCACTTTTTGATGTCTTCTATACATAAACATGTGTCCCCGGTGTGTCGGGGAACTCACGCAGCGTCAGAAAATAAAACCCTCTCTCTTTTCCTCCGTACCCAAATCTCTAAAAACGGGGCTACAACGGAGCTGATCCAGATTTGAGTCCGATATGACGTAATATCTGAAATGTGGACCCACGGCCCTATCAGAAACGTTGCTATCAGAAACAATGCCCGACTGTTTTGGACGTATTATGGTCTGTGTTTACATTAGCATCGCTAACACTCAGAGCTAACCTGTACTGGAGAGCATGTGTGTGAAGAAGCACAAAATAACAAAAGGAACTCACCTTGTGATAAACCTGAGAGAGAAAAAGCATTTGAGCTCCATGCTGTTTCAGAAATAATCCTTGATGTGGTTCAGAACAGGATGGCGTTTAATCACGTGGCATTTAGCTGTATCTGCCGGGTAATTCTGAGCAGGCACAAGCTCCGCCTCCTCTTTTATGAGGGATATGAGGGATTTCTAAAATGCATGATCTGTTTGGTATTTTGAGCAAAACACATCATAGACATGTTTTTATATATATTTGTATATATCTGAGACCCATAATATATGCCTAAAAATAGCATGATGGGAAACCTTTAATGTCTGTTCCTGTAGTGACGATGGGTTGTAATGTTTTGCAGCGCTGTCACAACTACATGACGGATCATCTGGGGATCCCTGTGTGGGGATCGTACGTGATCTTCGGCCTCGCCACGCTCTTCTCTGGACTCGCTCTGGGACTGGTCGGTTATTATTCATCATTGTAAACAGATATAGTGCATTGAGTACAATCATGCATCACAGTGTCCTAATGATGCCGGTTCTCTCTGCAGCTCCTGGTGTTCATCGCTGACTTCGCCTTCCCCTCGAGGCGCTTTTCCTCTTCGGACTACTACCAGAGTGAGTCTCATATTAGATCATATAAATACTGCTTTACTGAACTTCAAACACACGTCAGGAGAAAGCCTGGATATTCTATGAAGGGCCACAAAGATCCATCAGGCTCAAATATCCATTTTTTCGCCAGACACGTGCCTCATGATAAAAGAAGTCACACACACTTTTGTTGTCTTATCTTTAAACTGTGTTCCTGAGGAAACTTCAAATAAGAGCCGTCATATTTTATCACGTCGTCATGCAAACAAAAAGGGACTAAATTAGGGCTGCGTGATTTAGGAACAAATATTTGTACTGATAGTTGTCAGGGAATAATTTGCCCTGCATGTCCTCCTCCTTCGCCCTCTGACGCAGCTGACCAACCTTGAGCAGCCGTTATCTCCCTTAAGGAGGGGCTGCCCTAGCATATTGATGATGTTACCAGTTTGTGACCGGGCACCTGTCGGTCAGAGATAGTTATTGTTGTGGGACACCTGGAACACATCCTTCTCGGGGTGTAGATGACCTCGAGCCATAAGTGTCCTCAGCTGTTTAGTCTATCTATTGAAGAATGTTGATTATTACACTCTGAACTAGTTAAAACCTCGAGCTACAGGAGGGCTCTTCAGAATTGATTGTGGCATCTCAACCGTGTGGTCAACTCGTGGCCCGTGACGTTTTTTGTTAGATCTGACCAAAAGTGAGATTCTTTTGGAGTTCTGGGAAAAAGTTGGAATTCTGACTGAAATCACAATATTTTTTATTTGTTGAGAAAAATATATAATAATTTTTCTGAAATAAATATTTATCATTTTTTTCTGAAAATGAAACGTATCTATTTCTATTATAATTTAGTATCTTCTGATTTGTTTTTATTCTAAAAATCTCAGAATTTACATTTGATTTTTTTCTGAAAATAAATGTTTTTTCTAAAAATTCAGAAAATCTTTTTTTTTAACCTTTTCCTGATTCTAACCCCACAGAGAAGCAGACCCTGGAGCAGGCTCGTCTGATTCAGCGTCAGGAGGACGAGCACGAGGCGGACGGAGAGGAGGAGGAGGACGAAGACGAGGAGGACGAAGAGCAGGACGAGGTGTGGAGGAGGAGGAGGAGAGGCTCCCCCGAGGGCCTGCCCGACGAGGCGCTGAGGAAGAGGGTGGTGGGGACCCGGGAGCAGCAGGACGACGAAGAGGACGACGACTCCTAAAGTCTGCAGTGAAGACCTGGAGTCAGTGTTTACAGCAGGGAGTAGAAACCTCCTCCTCCTCCTCCTCCTCCTCTTCTTCCTCCCTGGTTGCTCCTCAGAGCCTCAGACTCCTCCTGAAACAGAAACACTCCCCAGCAGCAGGAGGAGCGCCGAGGGGTCGGTATGAAGCGGGATCTTGGCAATGTTGTTCATGCTATGCATCGTTTTTTTTAAATGTGAGTTTATTATGTGTTTGTCTCAGAAATATTATTATTTTATCCCAGGCGTGTTCCTCCTCCCCCTCCTCCAATGTATTCATACGGTTATTTTATGTTTCTTATATGTTTCCTTAACCCATATTAACCCAAATCATCTCTGTGTTTGATGGAGGAAAGTGTGAAATACCTGAAGTGTTATAATCCTTAAGATTTAGCAAAAATTCAAATAGGAATGGCGTCTTATTTTGTAAAAGACTTCAATGCATTTCCTGTCACTCCTTCATAATTGTGAAGTAGCAGCAGCCTCAGGAAACGTGTGAGGAGTGAGGCTGGTTTTAATTTAGCTGCGACTGTAGTAAACTAAAGTTATATTTCATGCCAAAAAATATCAAATTCTGCTAAATAAAAAAATAAAATCGTCTTATTTTGTAGTATCATATCCTGTCAGTCCTTCACAATAAAGCCCCACTGTTTCTCCAGATAAATGCTTTTGTTGTGAAGTAGGAAAAGCAGGAAATGTCATGTTGATAGCAGGATAAACAAAGTGACGCTGATACTTGTAAATATTATTTATTTGCTGCTAAAAAAAAGGCAATTTAAATCCAGGAAAAAACCTGCCATAAATTAAAAAAACTACTTTTTATAGAGATCAATAATTAATATAAATACCTTGGCACCATGTACGACTTTAAATGTGTGTTTTGTTCATGAAAATCTTAAGGATTATACCTTTTTAAATCAGACGAAACTTTAGTTTGATGTGAGCTGCACTTTAGTTTGCAGAAATGCAGTGAGTTAGAAGCAGATTTTATTGTGAAAGGAACTATATCCCCTCCAAAATAAAAGCCCTGGTGTATTTTTTTTGTCCCAATCCCAACAATCAACCAACGGGATGTTTCATTTGACTTTGTGTTATTATTTTTTCTTGTGATTCTCTAATTATTAAAGGACGTTTAATTAAAGAGCCCAGATGTATCTGCATGCCATTAAAGAAAACTAAAGAAAAAAGGAATAGGATATATTTAGGGACGCCTTTTTATATAAATCAAATACGGAGCGAATAATGCTGTTTTAATCTTATTTTAACCACTTTAAATTCCAACTTTTTTACGCTAACATGTCAAATTTAACCTGGCTTTGCTTGGTGAATTTATCTAAACGAGTGCTTTTTGGTTTCTTTTTGAAATCTCGAACAAATTTGCACTTTTTCTGCTATTTTTCAGATATTAACGGCGCTCAGCTCGGCTTGTATTCATTTCAGTGTGTAAGGCAAAAAGAGGGTGTGTGTGAGAGATTGTGTGTATGTGTGTGTGAGAATTTAAAAGCACATTTCAGTTTTGATTAGGCGTATAATGACCGGTTTAGACTTTGATTTATTTCTTATAATTACAATTTTTGGTGACGGTTGTGATTTTTTTTTTACCCGCCTCGTAGCATTCACACTTGACTCTGAGCTCCTTTCATTGTTTCAATATTTCTTTTAAATAAAGATTAACTCTGAAAAAACTGTCTCATGTTGTTTATTCCTACTAACACGAATACATGTATTAGGGATGCGCACTGGAAGTAAAAACAGGACAATATTTGAATTTGTAAACAAGAAAAACTGGAAAAAATGTGAAGTCACATTTGAAAGGGGACCTATCATGCAAAATGCACTTTTTGATGTCTTTTATACATAAATATGTGTCCCCAGTGTGTCGGGGAACTCACGCAGCGTCAGAAAATAAAACCCTCTCTCTTTTCCTCCGTACCCAAATCTTTTAAAAACGGGGGTACAACGGAGCTGATACAGATTTGCTGCCGATATGACGTAATTTCGGATGGTGGACCCACAGAGAGTTGCTATCAGAAACAATGCCTGACGTGTTTTGGACGTAATCTCGTCTTTGTTTACATTAGCATGTCGCTAACACTCAGAGCTAACCTGTACTGGAGAGAGCATGTGTTTTAAAAAGCAGGAAATAAAAAAAGGAACTCACCTTGTGATAAACCTGCAAGAGAAAAAGCATTTGAGCTCCATACTGTTTCAGAAATAATCCTTGATGTGGTTTAGAACAGGATGGCGTTTTATCACAGCAGAATTTAACTTAATCTCCGGTAGAATTCTGAGCAGGCATTAGCTCCGCCTCCTTTTTTTTTTTTTTTTTCAAGCTAAGGACCCAAGATCCTTGTTTCTCTAACGGGGCTGCAATAGAGGGGTATGAGCAGTATGAGGCATGGCTACAATGGGGGATCTGTTTGGGATTTGAAGAAAAAAACTTCACAGACATGTTTTGTATAGGTATGGCTCTACAATATATGTTTCCAATATAGCATAATAGGTCCACTTTAAGTTAAAGTATACAGTGGTAGTATTCTGTCTTTTATTTGCATCGTGTGGATGTTTTTCCACCTCTTTTACAGATGTCTTTTGGTTGTTTCTTGTCCATATTTGCATATTTTGTATCTGCTTTGATAATTGTGCACCTCTGTTGTGACGTTTTGCCTGTTGTTTTTTAGTCTCTTATTTGTTATTTTGTGAGCCTTTGGGGTCTTTTTATTTCTTGTTTTATACATTTTGCGTTTCTTTGTGACTTCTCACCATAAAATTCAATAAAAAGTGGATATTTCTTTGCAAAAATAATATAAAAATAAAAGCGAATATCTAATAAGGAGCTCCTATCGGCCAGCAGATGTCGCTCTTACACTAGTTTAATATTTTGTTCAACAACAAGATAAAAATCCCCTCTGTTAGACTTTCACCAAATACCCTGAAACTAACCAGAACCCTGACTACACTACCACATGGTCATTTATTAATCAGTCTCTAAAAAGGGGTTTTAAAAAGGTAAGATATTATAAAAAATAAATGACAAATGGATAGTAATGGTTCAAATTAAATGTATTTCAGAGAACAATAGCTAGTGTTGAAGTCCCAGCCACTGATTGTATTTAAGCTTTGACATATTCTAGTATTTTTTACTTCATGCACATCTTTGAATATTGATACTGCTGTTCAGGAGGTGGACGTTAGACGAGATGACATGCTCTCGCGTCTGCAGGACGTGATGGAAAGTGATGAACCTGTCAAACACAGAATTCATTTTAATAAGCTGAACACACACATTCATAAAAAGTCAAATCTGTCTCAGGGAAACAGAGACATCATGATGACGCTTCTGAAGAGGTACACAGCTGTATGATATATTATATACAGTTCATTTTACACAAAAAAGAAAAGGGCTTCAGTTTTGTTCGGCTGCTGCGTCTCTCTTCATGCATGATCTCTTTAACAGTTATTTAAATCATAATTCAATTCTAATGAATTATCTGACCTCAGACCAGGTGACTGTCTGCTGAATCATCAGTGTGAAGACAGACACACACACACACACACACACACACACACACACACACAGAGATTTAACCCTCCTTCAGTCACATGAACACATTTATTAGAGTCCTCTTTAAATATATGTTACTAACAGCTAAATCCTCTGACACGCACGCACGCACACACACACGCACACACACACACCATGTAGTCATTATAATGACCTCTCAGTGACGGAGGCTTCTTCTTCTCTCTTCCAGAGAAACACGGAGGCTGAGGGCAGACACAACAACAAACTGTTCAAACTTTATTTCTGTTTCAAGCATCATGTAATTATGAGAGCTGAGAGGAAGTGACACAAAGGGGGTGTAACGGGAATGAAAACAAAGACGTAGTTCTGATGCAACATGGCGCCGTGCTGCAGACCAGATAATTATGCATCAACTTAAATGTTACTCAACTATTCTGCTGGGCAGAGGTGGAAGTAGTACAAGTACCTCAAGCAACTTTGAGGTACTTGTACTTTACTTGAGTATTTCAATTTTATGCTACCTTGTACTTCTACTTCACTACAATTCAGAGGTAAATGGTGTACTTTTACTCCACTGCATGTATTTAATATCTTTAGTTACTTTACAGATTTTGATTAATGATGTGAAATATAATCAAGTGTTAAATCAGACTTTAGTT